CCCTCCCCTCAAAGCCAACGTGAAGATCACATACACACATGCAAAATGCACACACAGGGCAGCGACGGTCCCTACCCTCCGAGCCAACGTGAAGATCACACGCACACACACACGTGCAAAACGCACATACAGGGCAGCAACGGTCCCTACCCTCCGAGCCAACGTGAAGATCACACGCACACACACACGTGCAAAACGCACATACAGGGCAGCAACGGTCCCTACCCTCCGAGCCAACGTGAAGATCACACGCACACACACACACACACACACACACACATGCACAAATGCACACACAGGGCAGCGACGGTCCCTACCCTCCGAGCCAATGTGAAGATCATATGCACACACACACACACACACGTGCAAAACACACACACAGGGCAGCAACGGTCCCTACCCTCCAAGTCAACATAATGATCACACACACACACACACACACACACATGCACAAATGCACACACAGGGCAGCGACGGTCCCTACCCTCCGAGCCAACATAATGATCACACACACACACACACACACACACATGCACAAACGCACACACAGGGCAGCGATGGTCCCTACCCTCTGAGCCAACATAATGATCACACACACATGCACACAGCAATGTGATGGTCACACACATGCACACACAAGTACGCACTAACATGGTGGTCACATACATGAACACACGTGCATATGGTAACATGATCATACACATGTGTGCGCATACACCTGCTACATAGGGCAGGAACAACCCCTACCCTCTGGGCCGTGACGATGACACATATGCTTATGCACACACACTCACACAGTGACATACCACAATGGTGACATGATCACACACATGCATGCACACACAGGTGTGCGCACACACGGTGTTTAGACGGTGTTTCCTAAACCAACCCCCCTGCACATGCTTGCCCCTGCAGCGGTGCACACCCGGCCCAAGTCCCGCCATGCACTGAGTTTTCCACACCAGGGCTTCCATCAGGAGGCCGCCTTCACTAAGTACCACCCCGTACGGGAGTGCGTACAGCAGAACCGTGCACCTGCCACCCGGATCCTCCTAGAGTGCCCACCGCGCCCCGAGAGAGGACGGAGCAGGTACCGAGCACAGCTCCCCCTCCCACTGCGGACCGCAGTCCCTGTAGCTGTGTGACTCTGGGTGGGGTACCAACCTCTCTGGGCTTCACTTGAAACGATTTGTTGGAAAAAGATCTATGAAAGGTTCCCTGACCCCAAAAGCAGAGCTGCAGCCACTACCACCCCAGGGTACCCCGGATGTGGGGGCGCAGGGGTGAGCGAACAGTGGCCGTGCCCATCGCAGCACTGAAATGACTGTCACTGTCCCCACCCTGCAGGGGAGCACACTGAGGCTGGGGGGAAGCCTGTGATCCTGGTTTTGCACTGCCTGAGCCAAAATGCCCCAGCCCACGATGCCTGAGCCCCCCGACGCCACTCCCTCACCTCCTTCCAGGGGAAGCCAGGGGCCAGGGGCCCACACACCCAGTCTCTCCCCTCCCTAAGAAGGACCGACAGCACTGTGGTGAGGCCCTCCCACCGCACCCCCAGCCTCTGCTCCGGGCTCCCTGTCCACTCCTCCCTCCACCCAGGACCCGTGCGTCCCACCAGGCTGCAGGCCGCACATGCCCCGCACGAGCACAGGAAGGGTCCATCGTGACCAGCCCATTCAACAGATCAGAAGGCTGGGGCTCAGAGTGGTGAACCCCCTGCCCGAGGTCAAGGTCACACAGACAGGAAGCGGCCAGGCTTCATTCCGATTCCCCAAACCCAGGCCCCACCGCCCCCAGTGAGCAGAAGGGAAGTGGCCTCGTTGGGAGCGGCGAGGGGACCTGTTTCTGTTTCCAACCCACCCGTGCATGTGTGCGTGCGGCCAGCTCGCTCGCGGCTCCCCCGCCCCCCCGCAGCCTGCTCGATCACTTCCTCCTCTGCACCATTTTTCCATTCAATTTTAAAAGGAAGGAGAGCGAGAAGCCACAGCAGAGAGAACGGACTGGCCAGGGCCCCAGACCACCCCTCCCCGGGTAGTCCGCCAACGCCTCCCAGCCCTGCCTGCCTCTTCCTGGAGGCGGCCCTGTGTCCTGCTCCTCCACCGGGCACTCCGCATGGCTGCATGGGGAAAGAGGCACCCCCCAGGAGACTGCCAGGGGGTGGTGGGCCTGGGGAAGCCTTGACCTCAGCCCTCTGGGCTATATGGTGGACAGAGGCCCTTGCCCAGGGACCGTGGCTACTGGGCTCCCCGGGATCCCACAGAAGCTGGTCACGACAGGGACCCAGGAGCTACAAGGTCACTAGGGAGGTGGCACTCAGAGACAGAAAGTGGGAGGGGCGGGGCGGGCTGTTGGGGTGCAGTTTCAGTTTTGCAGAGGCTCCCTGGCTGCACAAGGCAAGCACCCTCCTCGCTGGGCTGGACGGTGGCTGAGGGGGTCACCTTTGCACCGAGTGCGTGCACAACTGTAAGTAAATGCAGGCACTCCTCCGCCGGGGTCCTCCCTGCTTGCGTGCCAAGGGCTCTTGGCAGACACGCACAGCCAAGGGCAGGGCGGGTCAGGCCTATCTCTGGCCCATGGCGTCCAGGACCTCTGATGGCCACGGGGCCTGGCAGGCCAGTGACTGACCCGTGGCCTCAACTCTCAGCCACTTTGGACGGGCCCCTGGGCCCCCAAACCCCAGGCTGGGCCCCGCCGCTTCCCACCGACTTCCCTGCCTCAGCACATCTGGCAAACGCGCCCACAGCTGTGCAGCTGCCGGAAACGCCTCCTCCAGCCCCTCCCCTTTGGAGGAATTCACAGGTCGTCCCAGCATCTCAGGGCAGGTCCCTGGGGAACGTTGGCCACGTGTGAACAAGGACAAATGTTCGGGCTGCTCAGAACAGCAGTGCCAGCAGCGGCATCCAGGCCAGAGCCCACCCGCTCACTGCGGCCCTCGAGCTTCCCCAGGCCGGCCTGGGACAACCCGACTGCCACCCAGACACCAGACCT